AACTTAATCTCGAACTTTGCCAATTTTTAGCTTATGATATCTAACTGATAAGATATCAAAACTTCTGACTTATAAAGATTGACTATTTTCTGAAACTTTATTTCTACGGTTCAGTTTCAAGCCTACAGGATATTATCCGGCTTTTGGTTCTTATTTCAAACCCCCATGATTTACCCGTACTTTTTAGCTATTATATACAGAAATACCGTTACTTCTGATACTTGGCTCAAATACATAATCAACCTTTATAGTCAGATCTTAATTCAAATCTTAATTTGATGGCTTAACGTAGAATGTTCGAGTCTCTTTCTTGATCTAGTTAACTTGATAAACTAGATTTCAAACTTTAATACTAATCTGAATATATAGACTGATTTCTAGAGTTCGGATATCTGAATTCTTATTGAGCATAGACTTAGTAAATTTGAATATATTTAAAAACTTTTGTAAAAACTTTTAACAACACTTACCTGGTAGTCGGCGAGGTGTGAACGAGGTGTGGTCGGGTTTTCTTGAAACTTCATGTAAAAACTTTGGCTTCTCTGAAAACTTTCTCTTTCAGAAACTTAAACTTTTAGTATACAGAGCATTTAAACTCTAGCTCTGATACCACCTGTAACACCCCGCTCATCAGAGTAAATTTTTCGCAACTCTTACTTTGAAAATACGTATAACTCTTTCGAAATATTTTGCGACTAACTCGAAATGCTACTCAAACTCATCTTCTTAAAAATCCATTTATCTTTAAACTTTCTGTTTAATACTTCTCTAGACATAAAGAAAACAGATTTCCTTTAAACTTACATTTAACTGTACCATATTCATACTTCTCGAAATGGTATAAACTTGAAATCTAAAATTTATTAAAAATGCAAGTTCAATACTTAATGTGCATAGCGGAAATACTTAAAAACGTGGTTAATTATACAGACTGTTATAAATGTCCATATCAAAGCTTGTCACATTTTAGGTCCACGATCCACACCAACGCTGCTCCACTCACACCTCCTCCTCAACCTGTTACCTAAAAATAAACTTATGGGGATGAGTAACGAATAAAGATAATCATAAACCGATATCGGATCGGTAACCAGAAATCTGTTCTGGTACTAAAACTTAAACTTTTCTCTTCTCTTCCGATATCTGATCGGATACGTGTGCACACTCTGATGAATATTTCTCAAGGCAACTCAAGCGGCCTCCATCAGGCAACACAGTAAGACAATAACAGCACAAGTCTTCTTTCATCGGCTGTAATAATAGGGGGGAGTAGGCTTAAAAGCACTTGTCTCCCTCTTATCAAAGGAAGCTCCAGAAAATAGAAATCCTGATGTCGGTGCCGGTTAATGATAGGTCATATCGGTAACAGGGGTATTCTCAATCGGCCAAGACTCACAACAATCAGAGGAGTTGTTGCACAGCGTCCGGGGGCTTCCACGCTCCATACCCATACTATGAGCACTTTACCAATCTATCACTTTTGAGGCTCTGCAATTGATAGATTCATCGAGGGCTTGCCGACTACTAGTATGAGTTTAGTTTAGTAGGGATCCTATACGCTCGCTTTACAGTACTGATAGAAGGACCTTTTCCTGATCGATCCATACCAGCCTATGGAGATGAACAATGGACTAGGTAAATAAAAAAACCCTCGCACTTGGGGAGGATGCGCTTGCCCGGATAAATGCTCGATGAAAAAGGACACGAAGTGACTCGACTTCTATGACTTCACTTCGCTTCGCTTCGTTCTGTTAATCTCGACCCTAACTGCCAATTGATCTGCTTTCGCTGGATCGAGAAATTGAATGTGTAATGTCCCAACCCCGTCAGAAAATCTTCAATGCGGATGTAATTGAGCTGTTGAAATAACCATCTCCAAAAACGTAATTCTACCTATTACACGCTATGCTCAATCAAATTGGTTTGCAGGATTCTTTGATGCGGTTTGTTCCGTTCATTTTTTGAATCTCTATTCTCTTTTGGCTTCTTTGCGTAAGATCGCTTGCCCGAATCGAAAAGTCAACCCAAACCTCCGTTAAATTCCCGAGCCGTGCAAACCTCCTCCCACCGAACTAGGCTAAGTTTTCGTTTATCACGCGTGCCTCCCCAGATAAATCTCCTATGACCTCTTTCTTGTGCTTCAACCCTATGAGGATATGGTTAGAAACGTGGAACATTTGATAAAATGTGCTGTGTCGTTGAGGGTCTGCCGCGAAAGCAAGATATCTGCGATTGCTGCCTTTTTTGAAATTTCTGTCTAATGAGGCTCGTACCTCAGATTGCACTGGGCAATAGAAGGAAGTTAGTCTCTAATCCCCACCTAGGACAGTAACCATAGAACTGAACTTCGATGCTTTGACCTATTATTCACAAACAATGCCCCAAGATGAATTTGCGACGGGTAAGAGCTCACTTGATCATTGCTTTCAGAACGGCGTATTACAATATTCCGGAATGTATCATGGCTCTATCTATTCATTTCTTTTTTGGAAAAAAAAGAGTTCTGCATCTCCCCCACCAATAGAGGGCTGGGGAAGAGAAGTTGGCTTAGCCGATCCCACTAGAGGACGATTGAAAGGGTTTTATGGAGAAAAATTAAGGGATTTGGACAGGAACCAGAAAAAAATCCAGTTCGGAGAAAGGCTTGTTCCACTTATCCCCAGCATAACGAGTCCGAGGGGCCAAAATGCCTCTGCTGTGAATCTGGTTGAAGAAAGGCAGCCGAAGCAGGCGGGCTCTTTACACATATGGAGGTCTAGTACGGTGAACAAGTAAGGTAGGGTCTCTTCGATTAGGCGAACCAGTCCAACTAGGCCAAAAGACAACCATCCACTCCTTTGAACGGCTTTAGCAAAGTGGGTCCAAAACGTCGGTTTTTAAAGTTGACAATTCTTGTTGAAACATACTTTTGGGTTGTAGGAAAGGGATGGCTTTGACCGCTCGAGATAGAGCCCTAAAGCCGGCACATCGCTGACAGAAGTGCGGGACGTTTTTAGTTAGGCGAACGGAACGATACGGGGCTGAGCTTTCCCCTCTCGGCTGACCCTGTGAGCTCGACGGGTGCGAAGGGCAAGGAAGCTAGTCGAACCAACTAGGGTCCGTATCGTGTTCCGGCCTGTCCCTGTCCGTATTTGGCGTAAGGTCTGGAAACACAGTTGATTGCTTCACAACAATGGCTATCCTTCCTTTCGGGTCTTCTACAATTTAGATTCCCTGAAAGCAAAGCGATGCCATCCTCGTCTACTATTACCCGAAGGAGATAAAACCTACCATTTCGGGCATACCATCTAAAGCTAAGAAAATCTTCTCTTTCAAGCAATTTGTTCACCGGATCATGAAAGAGGCGATCAGAATGGTACTCAAATCCATTTACGATCCCGAGTTTCCAGACACATCGCACTTCCGCTCGGGTCTTAGGTGTTGAATATTGATTAGTTTCGACTCAAGGCAGGCAGGCATAACACGAACCCCTGCTCATTAGGTATGTCGATAGCTCCGTTGCCTCCTCTCATGTCCCATCCCGTAGGCTGCAGGCGTAGCTCAATGACGCGGCGGCACCTGGAACCACACACACTGCTGCCGCTGCCCCACTCAGGTCTTAACCGGCGCAGTTTCTGTTTCACCGGTTTGAACTTCGGATCTGTCGGAATGCGGTGCTCTGCAATGTCTCGTCAACCCCAGGCATATCATCATAAGACCATGCAAACGCTGTTACATGCTTCTCAAGTATGGCCTGTAGTTCTCTCTTTTCTTCAGAAGTCAGATCAGAAGAAATGTATACCGTTTTTGGATTAACAGGTGTTCCGCAATTACATCGAGCCTTACGTTTTGCTTTCCCCTTTACTTCGAGTGAAGCGTAGGGGCGCTCACGTTTTTTGGCCCCCTCCCGGCCGGGGAGTTCGGATCAGTTGTGCAGCATTCCCAGGCGAAACAAAATCCTTGTCATGCAATTCACAATTTCTACAATACCAGTCAAAAGATTAAGATCTAGGGCTAGCCGGACAATGAAAACTTTCTCGACTGATGAGCGCCTTTAAGGCAGCAGATCTTGAGTTTCGAGGGCCCCGTGAGTGATTTTCTGATCCTGGAACAGGCGTTAACTGGCACTTTAGTGTTCAATTGCTGAGTCAATCCCAGGATGGCGACTTCCTGATGCCTTTCCTTCGTAACCTTCGTATAGCTGATTAGATATTGATGAACTCCAGGCGAAGCTGCAGGCTCGATTACATTGACCTTGCCCATCAACTACACTGACAGTAAGCTTGTAATCTTAGATTTTCCGCTGATTGAAAGAATCAAAATGCCCAGGAGTTGGATGTGGGCGATGGTCAAAAGGTGCAATCTTCTGACCGAAACTAGTTGCATAAGGACTTTCGCAAGGGTCCTTCATATCTCCTATGTGCCAACGAAAGGAAAAGTCTGACTCCACTTCGCCGCGAGGGACAGGCGCCAATAACAAGAATGGGAAGTTGCGAGCCTTCATCATTTTCTTGAATAGTGGAGGAATTGCCAGGCAGTTTTATGGAGAAAAAATGAAGGAATTTTGTGTAAGCAACTCTGAAACGAGAGAGTTCTCACTAGAACTGAACGGAGTGAAGCTCAAGCCCTAAGACTGGACTTATTGGGGGACGATGAAGCTTATCCAGAAGACAAGGATAGCCAGCAAGGATTTAGCGGTGGATAGGAGCGCTTGGAGGCTAGCAATCAACGTGCCAGAACCGTGACTTTTGTTCCTTTCTCTTTTGCTCCCGTCGGCCACTTCTCTCTACTTAGGTTGTTACGGAGAGAAAGTCCCCTCCTTGTGACCGGCGTCCTGAGCAAGTTTAAGTGCGGGCCGTATCGGGAGTATATAATGAAAGCATTAACCTTTCACCAATACTTGCATACACCGGCTGCTTCCTTGGTTTGTGGTTGCCCTCCTTTCCCAAGTTTTTCCCTGGTATTCGCCGTGTTCTGCTTCATACCCACGAAGGATAAGACAATAAGCGGGTCTCCTTCTTATGACTAGAAAGAGAGGAGTGATTTCCTTGACTTATGAAAGGCTATTGACCTTCCAAACCTCGGACAGCATCAGCCGCCTCGACAATCTCACCGACAACCATGCTCGAGTAGAGCTAATAGTTCATGCTAACCCCTTGCTGGCACTGACTCAAGTTAGACTTTTGCGCTCTCTCAAAAGGCCTGCACGCCTGCGAGTCTTCTTCCCGGTCCTACAAAACGAAAGATCCCCTCTCCTCTGCCCAATCCAATATCTACGTCGCTGCCCAGTCGCCGATTCAGATCTAATGCCTTCTTTTCCTTGTATTATTAGTTGAGCCCCTCAACCCTTTTCAGAACTAGGCAGTCTTCTACATTTCTGAGGAACACGATTCTGATGAGACTCCTGACGGGATGCAGTAGAGTAAGAGTACGGAAAGGATTAGCATTGTTGGTTGGAACTTCCTCGATACAGGTTCTCTTCAGAGCAGGAAAAAAACAAGGGCTCGTGCAGCTGCAGAAGGAAATTGATCGTGATTTTGAACCTGTCCTCTTATTCTTTTCTTTGACCACGAGAGGTTTACGAAAGTGTTGTTCCAATGCGCCCATGCGATCAAAGCTTCACTCCTTTCCTTCACTGCGCTTCGCTTCGTTCGTTGAATCGATTACATTGAGCTGGAGCGATCTTCCGCTTAGAGCAAGGCTTAGAACCAGAGGTCAATTACATCTCAATTACATCGACCCTGGGCGCGATCGAGTAACAGGGGAGCAGGGGAAGGCGAAGGAAAGGCTGAAGAGAATGCAACTACAACTGCCTGAAAAGCCTTACTACGGGAGGGCCCTACGAAAGTGTTGAGGTTTTTCATCGCCTTCGCCCCCCACATCAGCCCCTAAATCCTTTATAAACATCCAAAACCATGCAGCAAAGCGGGCGCCGTGCGCCATTCAACATCAAACTCATGATTCATGTACTGCAATTCTATGTTCATAATAATCTTTCGCCCTGAAAGCCTTCCAAGGCTTCACTTCGCTTCCCAAAAACAACCCTTTCCTTTAAGCGCTCGCTCGGCTCCTTTGGTTCAGAGAGAGCCTCTTTTACTCCTTCGTCCCCCAAACTTCCTCTATGACTTCACTTCTGGGCGTAGTTGGTCTGGTTTCACATTAGCGTATATGGTAGTGCCTTTTACAGGCGGGGAAAAGACGTTTAAAGCGGAGGTTCGATGTAATTGCCTGGTTAAACATCAGAGCTAGCGGGTGAAAACGTAGATACGGACATATCTGACCTCTCCGAACGTTGTCTTATTACCTTACGGTGAGTTGGAGGGATGATCCTCGGTAACCCTGCGGACCTATTCAAGATCCAATTGCACGGTCGAAAATAGCTCTTTGATGTATTCTATAGAAGCATAGAGTAGCGGGTATTACGCCAACCATTCAATCGGCTATGTAGGGAGGTTTCCCCCCAGAAATTCTTGGATTTCTTGCAATATGAGATTGAATGCCATAACTCTGATTTGTATTTTACTTCTTATTGGTGCTGTTTCGAGGAAAAGGTGCGGAAGGAAAAGGAAACAACGGAGGGATCCGAATCGGACCTAAATGGGAATGACATGAAAAGTCTTTTTCAAAACCTAGCATTAAGGGCCGATGTAATTGACGATGGCTAGAAGTGAGAATCGATTGAAGAAGAAAGAGACAGATATTTTAGATGCCGAGAATCTGATTTTCTCAACAAAGAGTTCTGAACTTTATCCCTGTTCCAATTCCAGAGGCTTTCTCCGATCGAAGTCGACGCCCCAAGGGGTCCTCCGGCCAAGGGTCCTGTCGTTTCTCGATGCGAAGAAAAGCCCTACTCCATGGAGCCATGGGCATGATTCCAGTTGTCCTCACCCAACCATGCTATTGCACATTTGTCCGCGACAAGAAGATCCTGTATCGCAGCATGGATCTGGTTCGAGAAAGGGTAGACGAAGACTTGGTTGAGCCTGAACCCAGTCAGCGGCACATCTCCGTCCGATTATGAAACCGCGTGGGCCTTTTGTAGAGAACTTTCCTCTCAAGGAGAGAGAGGTCGTCCCTCCCAATCAAAAGAAAGGAGGGTTCTGTTCTGCTTCCGCTGCCGCTCCAGGCATTGGAGCGGGAACCTGCGTAGGAGGGATTGGAGCGGGATTTTCTGGATACCTATGTCAGGCATCCCTTCACTTGTGGCTTCGAAGCTTTTTCTTTTAACAGCTAAGAGTAACCTCGTAGCTGCCCTAGCTCAGGTCTTGACCCGATATTTCCCCGCTGGCTGGTGAGGATGTCATCACCGATCAAGACGGACGAAGAGCGAGCCGTCGCCCCTTGGTAGTTTCCTGGAGAACGCCGGTACCACCTAATCCCGGTAGGAATCGATTCTATTTCAACTGTTGATCTCACCAATCTTCAACATCCTTACGGCGGGAACCTATTAGGAATCCACGGGAGAATCTCCCATTGATTGAGTTTGTCTCGTGGCTGATACTTTTTATCCAGCTCAAATCTCTTGCTTTCGCCGTTGGTTGTTTGCAGTCCGCTTCGTTCGTTCCCTTCGAATCTTATATGATATTTCTACTTTTTCGCCGCTAAGGCAGCTAAGTCTTTATCATTCTCTGATCGCGTAATCTGAATCGGAGGTCAATTACATCGGGATTGGATTCTTCCTTTTATCCGGACTGACTCTAATCGTGATTTTTACTCTATTACGAGACCTCCCTCTGCTGTCGTGCGCCTTGTGAGCGCGTTTGATCCGCGAAGGCAATCGCTCGGCTGTTCCCCTAACCCAACCCGCGTCATGCTGATGAGAGTAGGGGCGACTAAAAGTAGCCTATCGGCGCTCATGACTATAAGATAGCTATGACTGTGAGAAAGTAGATCCTTATAGCAAGTGTTTCGACAGGAGCTGGCGGCTTCTCTTCGCTTCAGTAGCTTCGATCAGTCCCTCACTTCGGTTCGTTAACCCAGCTCCTACGCTACTCAGCGTAAACGTCCTCTTCGTTGCTTCGCGACCACGCTTGTTCGCCGCCCAACGACTGGAGGTTCCACTATGTTCTTTCATTTCTTTAGTCTTTCTAGCCCAAGCCGAAAGTAAGGGCTCTAAGGCGAATCATCATAAAACTGTGTAGGGTCCCTAGTCCCTGGCACTAAGAAAAGTCGTGGGAAATGATAGCTTGGATCCCTGGGCTTTCTGTCCCCGCGAGGGACAGGCGCCAATAACAAGAATGGGAAGTGGCTTCTGACTTATGCAGGCCGTCTTATTATGGTTAACTCAGTTCTTAGAAGGGGCAACTCAGCCTTGTCTTTCCCTTTGGTCCGGAGTCAAGGTTTCTATTGGTTGGAAGATCCGGTCTGCCCGGGCATCCCTCTCTTGGGACAGGTCGAAGCTTTTTTTTTTTTATTTTTAATTTGGTTGAGGTTCGACTCCCTCCGTAGTTTTCGACCCAGCTCAATTACATCGATCCTCTCCTTTCGCGTCGAGCCAATTGCACCAAATCGTCGACTGAAAAAAGCCCTATGTGACCGTATTCTCTTAAAATGAAAGCGTTGGAAAGGACACTCAGTTACACTCCTCCGCCTGGCATTCCAGTTCAAATAACAGTCCGCTGATGGTAAACTCGTATGAAACGAGTTGAGTCAACCTAGTCAACTCAAAAGCATGAATCAACGCATTTTCTCCCTAGCCATTTTCTTGCTTGGTTGCTACGAATGAGAATCCGGGTCCCGATCGGATGAGTCAAGACCTAACTTCACAAGCTCGCCTCACTTTTTGGCGCCAAAAACCTGTCAGCGTTAGACGGTTAGCGGCTAGAACAAAACAAGGGGATTCCATAAATATCTCTCTTCTAGGATTGGCAAGTTAGAGATTTGTAGCAAAACTACCATTGGATTGGTCCTTCTTCAACTGCCTTGGCTGGAAGAGATTCTATTATGACTGGCATGGCTTGAAGACTAGCCGGGGACCGTAGTTTAATAGCAGCCAGCTCTTTTTTCATGGCCGCTGTCCAGCCTTCATGTTGCGGATTTATCCAACTCGATGAATTCGTCGGGCGGCCTCATCTACCCTTGATTAAGCCCCTCCCTCTGCCCGGGTAGAACATTGATTTACAGCTTTTTTATGTCGACTGTGAAGAGCAGAAAGAGCCTTTTATAGCTTCAAAGAGTTGACTTGGGATTATTGAATGAAGGAATGAAGGATATTAAACCATATATTCTATTTATATGCTGGAACCCCGAGCACTGGAGTAAAGCGCTAATACGAGTGTCTTCGAAGTGATATATCCAAAACTAGAGTTTCGAGGTCCTCTAAGGTGAAATTCCCTAACTCGAAAGAAAGGTGGCTTGCTTTTTCCGGCTTGTCTCCGACCAAAGGTGAATTCCCAACCCGAGGCTTTTTCTAAGCCTGTGAGAAATCTCTGCGAGCGGGTTCGAGTGCCTTGTTATCGCGCGAATAGACCCATTCCTTGTCTTCCGTCTTACTGGTTCGTTAGGCTTAGGAGATTATCATACTCCCCAGGCGGGAAACCGCATAACCAAACGGGGAATAAAATTTAGCCCAAATCCATTTCCCCAAAAAAACCTCCGGGAAAGCAGGGCGTAGGTGAGAATAAGCAATCTGTGAAGTCACCTTCCGCGCTCCTTAGCTTGGCGGGCTAAGGGGCAGCGGGCAAGTGCTTGGTAGGCCAACAGCCCAGTGAACTGGGCGGGGCACTCGAAGAAAGGGGGGCACACTAAGCAGAGAAATTGGCCACGCGGAGCTTTCTTAAAAGCAAGGAAGCTATTTTCTTGAAGCCCTCGAATCGCCAGTTCAGGCCTGCTTCAGTCTATCCATGTCTTTCTTCTCTTATGAGATTTTTAGCTAGTCTCTTCCTGGCCTGGCCGCCGAACGATTAAAGGCGGGGAATGAAGACGCGTCAACAACCGGTCCTTTCACCAGGCAGGCAGAACTGGAGGGAGCAAGAAACTTGTGGCTGAGGTTGATAAAACCAAGGCCAGGGGCTCACTTTGCTCTCCTCACTGTTTCAATAGAGGTACGAGAAAGGGTTGGGGGCAATGAAGTAGGTGACGTGGTTGGATTTTGCGAGCTGTTCCAACCACTGCTGGAGTTTCCGAGTGAATGAAAGAAATCTCTGACGGCGGACAAGAGCTCTTTCCAAGGCCAGGAACCCAGCACCTCTTTTGTCGGAAACCACAACACAAATACCTCAGGAGAGTGTTAATGCATTTTGTAATAACCAACGGGAGATCCCGGCTAAGTCTTAGTCTTTGAAGACGAACCTCAAAAATCCGCGCCGATCCACCCCAAAGAATCCTTAGAACGTACTGACATCCGTTGGGCGGTCCCAATTCATACATATTAAGGTGGTGGGGTGCCAATAACGATTCGTACGACAGCCTGTTCAGAGCCCTCCTACTGCTTCTTCCAATTCTTCAACTGCAGAGTCTGGAAACTAATGGGTCTACCCATCAATTTGACAATGACCGCTTGTCGGTTTAAATGATGGAATCTATCACTTAAGTAATTTCTCAAGGTGCGGTTTCAGCGCGTTCTTTGAGTCTCACAAGCCCTCCAGGGACTTCACTGCGCTTCGCTTCGTTCGTTGGGCGAAGCGAAGTGAAGGAAAGGTGTAATTGAGAGAAAAGAGCAGTGAAGTAAAAAAAAAGTCAATTACATCGAACCTCCATCGGGCTCGAAGCGAAGTGAAGTCGACGGTTTGAAGGAGAATAAAGGCACTTGCCTTTTATTCATTTTTTTGAATATGGTTTTGGTAAGCATCATCCGTAAGGTTGGGTTAGGCTTCCCAGGAAAAGCCAAGACTCATTCTCAGTCTATCTCCAGTATACAAACAGAGAAGGAAGCTTTTGAGCGGAAGGCAAGGAATTCTTGAGTCAGTCTTCAAACCTTCACTTCGCTTCGTTCGTTGGGTACGGGTAGGGGCCTCTCCTACGATAACTAGAAAGAGCTACTTCTTCGAGCTGAGATCTTTCTTTCGGAGCAGTTGGGGCGTACTAAACCCACCCAGTCAATTCCACACCACCGGGCAGATCGCAGGTTCGAAGGGCCTTCCTACAAACCGCCGCTCCCCTTGATTCTTGCGTTTTGGGGTTGGCTACTCGCGTCCGTGAAGTGATTGATGGGTATTGAAGACCCCTACGGCATATTCATATCACACTTGATGCTATTACGGAGTCTCTCTCTCTAGACGAGACCGCCTTACAACGAACGGGACTCATGACTAGCATCCATTCTTCTTTACGCTATTTCTAGTAAGGAATAGTTACGAGAACAGGAGTTCTGTACTGAATTTAGTTCTTTTAGTAAAAGCCTCCTCTTTTACCAAGGGACCAAACTGGGTAAACTGCTCACGCTTTCGGCAAGCTCAGTTACCAGTCCACCATTAAAGAGAAAGGTACAGCACAACTATCATGCTTTTGAAGAAAGAATCCCGCCGAAAGAAGTAATGCAATTGGTTGACCCCCCGGGTTAGAAAAATCCCCGAAAAAGAGTTGGCCTCCACCAGTGGCGGAACGTGAAGCAGATGTTTTACCTGACTCCACTCGTAATCTCGACTTGCCAGTTTCCGACCAGCAAGAAAACGGATGCGCTAACGCGCAACGGCTATTGATGTCTTTCACCATACCGAATAGCCCTCCGCTCTACTCTACCAGAGACGCGTGGCGGTAGTAGCTCCATAGTAGCCCCAGTGCAAGCATCTTAGGCGTAATATAATACGCATACGTATACATAAGCATATCCGCTCATCGAGGCTCCAGCATTCGTCTTTCAAACTACCGGGCCTAGGGGTGCAGTAGAGGAGTTTACCGCCGCCCGACTAAACATACCAATAGTCACCAGATTCAGTGCCATCCATCCCGACCTGTTGGCCATACCGTAGTGTGAGCACCATTATTGGAATTGGAGTCTCTCTTGAACTAGGTCTCGATCACGAAGGTCCTAATCGTCGATATGATCATACTCTGGGATTCCTTAAACCATAGAAGAGCATCATCGTAATGATTGTGTTTCCTTGGGTCACCATCCTACCCGGATACACTTTTTGCCTACCTTGGGGTTAACTCCATGTCTCGATATCATCCAACTACTAGAACCATTGATTACCGGGTAAGCTAGCTATTAATGGTACCAACTAAGGAGACAAGAACTTCAATGCAGATTTTGATGGGGATCAAATGGCTGTTCATGTACCTTTATCTTTGGAGGCTCAAGCGGCTAATGTTTCAGAGCCAAGAGCTAAGTTGTCGTCCAGGCCCGAGAAGTCGTTTTATTGGCCAAGACCTTGGAAAAGGATTGTATTGGGCTTATTGAGGAGCATCAATATGGAAGTTAGAAGTTCGGTCCTAATCTGGTAACTTGCTCCAAAGAGCCTGTCACTTTGCTTTTGGCTCGAGGACTTGAAATTCGAAACCTGGGTTTTAGGAGTTCGTTCGAAAAAGAGAACCGCAATGGTATAACTTCGGCAGGACAAGCTACCCGAAGAGGTACCCACAAATTGGTAATACCTTGTAACCCAGGTCTCTTGCATACTTGAGTTCCTCGCTATAGTAGACACTATGTTTAACACACCCTTACTATGGTTTTCATTGATTATTTATGCTTTTTCTCTTCGAAAAACTATCTGATTTTACGTAAAGATATTATAACTCCCTACCTACTTGAACGACTAGGTTCGACAAACCATCATAACCACGAGGGCCAGGCGAATAAGATATAGCTGGAGATAGACTAGATCCCCATTTCTAAGGTCCTCTCTCTTCTGTGCTTATTAGACGCCGCCCTACCACCCACTCCGTGTGTGTGGGTGCCCAGTTCATCTCCCCCACAGGCTCTGAGATTCGGTCACTTTCCTTCGCTTTCCTTCCATTCAAAGTTGGTAGCCGGCTTTGAGTTTGGGGCAGCTTTGGGGTACGAACGAAGCTGATCGAAGGTTGAAGCTTTGCAAGTCCAATCCTATATCAGAAAAAGGGGAGCTAGTACTTTCGTTAAACATCATCATCGGAACTCTTATATTGACCATTATTGCCTAATAACCCGGTTCCCCGTATGGAGCCGCCATCTTCGCGGGAAGTGAAGTCAGGAAAATAGAACAAAGCGAAGTGTATCGTTCGGTCTACCCACCCGGCCAGGTTTCCAAGTCATGGTTTCGGAAGCCAACCCTTTTATTTTAGGACAAGGGATTACGAGTCCCAAGTGTTTGGGATCGAAGGACCTAGAAAGAAGATTCAATCTAGTTCATGGGCTCAGGCGCAAAAATGTCAAAGACTCAAAAGGAAGTCCGGCACTTTCTATTCTTAAACAAAGGGGCAAGTCTAAACCTACGTTAATCGACGTACAAAGCCAATCGAGCGGACTTGCTTACTCGTTCGCCTTTACTATCTAGTCGGAGGTTAGACGGAAATCAGGAAATGAAATCAGTCTACCGAAAGAACAAGCAACCTGGCACTGATGACGACTTTAAAGTCCTTTCTGCTTTGACAGAGCTAGCTTCAAGTAATTGCATTTAGTAGCCCTCCTTTGATCTCTTCGAATCTACGTGATATTGTAAGAACCGCGACAATTTTATTTTCTGTGGCACTAACCGCTTCGGCTATTTAAAGAAGTCCCTGCAGGCTCCGGCGCGAAAGCCGTTGCGCGTTAGCGCATCCGTTTTCTTGCTGCTTCGAAAAGTTTGTAGGGTTAAGAAGGCTCCTTTTGAGAACGAAAAGTTGAGGCTGTTGGAGTATACTGTAAAGCAAATTTTTACGTGAGCTTTTGGATTGTATTATTCGATTTCCCATTTGACTGAAATGAATGTTTTTCACATTGTTGCATTCTTTATGATTGCTTGTATGCTAAATGTCCAATTATCTTATATTGTAGACAATGTGGTGTGTTAGTAGTCACACAGAAGATTGCATTGTCGGTTCCTTATAAGATATAAATGGTATTCACAACTGAGATAGTTATGGACATGACTATCGGTGTAGGTTGTAGTATAAACTGGATGTAGCTTGTCTTGGCTATTGGTTTATACTAGTGCGCTGCGTCGCATTGAAAGGATCACAGTTGAGACGTGTTCTTCTGTTCTGACTATCATGAAGAACCTAGGTCTCGGTGACTCTACTAATTCTTAACCCTAACTGTGGTAATTAGATATATGGGATATTTGTTTGTTACTTTGACTTACCATGGGTGAGGACCAAGTATTGGTTCAATAGCTCCGTATCTTGGGTAACAACACTATCTGCATGATATCTATTTATTGGCATTAGGGCACCGTGTCCTGGACATCCAGGTTGGTGACGTCCCCTTAAGGAACTCATAAGGATTATCGTATAAACCCTGCAGGTGGATTTAATCCGTACGATAATAAGGTTGAGTGGTACTACTTAAGGATTAAAAGATATTAATTAATTAAAGCAGTCAGAAGCTTTAATAATTAATGGACGTGCGATATCTTAAACACGGGGAATTATATCGAGTCTAATAGAAGCCCTGATTCATTTCGGGATAGGACGGGAGTACAATATTAATTCTCTAGTGGAATGAATTAATATTTACGGGCCAAATTGTGTTCTGGGCTGAACATAAGAATTTGGGCCTGTAGGGAGCCCAAACCCTATACCTTCTAAGAGATCCCTAGGCTGGCCCAAGGACCTCTATAAAAGGAGGGATTGCACGTCTTCAACCCTAACACACATCACAAAACGTGAGCAGCCACCATCGTGGAGAAGTGACGTGAAGGGTTCAGATAAGACGAGATACAATCCGCTCTTTTCAACCGTTTGGTAGATCGTCGTCCATCCGGCGTCCAAACGTGGTCGGGACACAGACTAGAAGATCGCTCAGATCGAATCAAAGCCTCGTAGAAAGGTAAACTTTCTGTTCGTCCTTTAGGAGCATGCTTAGGGTTTAATCGAGATCATGTATGTACATGTTTGGCATCCGATATCAATCCTTGGAAAGGACCGCCTCGTCGGCGTGTTCCAGCAGAGGCTACGCAGCGAAGTGTCTTTAGTACCGTAACGGCGAAGAAGCGGAACTATCATCTGACAAAGGAGTGTCATCTGAGGCTGGATGAGGTGGTAGGCTAAGCCCTAAATCCCAGCTTTCTTGAAAGGAAAATTTCATCAAGGAGAATCCACCGACTGAGGCCGGATGAACTCAGTGCAGTTGTAGGCCGCTAGCCTTTGGATTTGTTCTGGAGCTGCAGGCTGCATTAAGCGGGATTCAGTCGCAGATTAGACTTTTGGTCAGAAATCTGTCAAGCACCGCTGAATGTTCTGATCGGGTGCAGACAATGCTTCCGGAGCTAGACTGAAACATCCTTCTACCAACCAATCTTTTCCAAAGAATTCGCCACCCTATTGGAATGTGGAATGGAAAGGATAAGTTAACCACGCCGCTTCAAAGTGAAAGGGGCGCTCCCGATGGCGATTGCACTATGGCTGAGGCTCCTGCTCCTGCTGCACCCCAGGCGATGGTGGAGAAGCTATGTCAATTACATCGAGCCAGGAAGACATTGCTGAGCTGAGTTTCCGGTCTACCCACCCGGGCATCCCTCTCTTGGGACAGGTCGAAGCTTTTCTTTTTTATTTTTAATTTGGTTGAGGTGATTTTTTTAAGACTTTAAGCGCCGTAAAGTGGTACTGGAACTCATAGTTCTTGTTGTTCCAGTAGTTGACGAGTTCCTCGCGTTTCAATGACAAGCCTGTCCCTCGCGGCGAAGTGTATCGTTCGGTCTACCCACCTCTTCCTTGAAGTAAATCAAACTAGCCGATTTACTTGTTACTTGATCGATGATGGTCGGCTCCTCACGCACAAAATAGCTGCTTTTAGGCGTGATCTATCTCTCTGCTTTTCGTAGTCATATTTCCCGATCTGTGTTGATTCTTGGCAAGGATTGGCACACACAAAAACGATGCAGCGTCGTGCCACAAGGTTGTCAGAAGTCGCGACAAACCCCCAGCACCCACATGGCCGTTTAGGTCTCCTCCTACGAAGAGCTCTGATCCTACTCCTTAAGAAGAGTCATTAAGAGAGAGGGCGTTAAGCCTGAGCTTGCTTCCATTATCTACGCTATTTATTGAGAAGATCAAAGCGGCCTGGAACTGGGCCGGATTCGGGTGGAGAAGGATTAAATAGTTCATCATGAGAAAAGATAGACTTTCTAAAGTCAAGATTTTACCGAGGCAATTCTCCATAGTCCTTTTAGCGTCGATGGACGATTTGCTTCGACTCCAATATCCCAAACCAGGCATCCGATTCATCCTGTACTCCAAAAAAAAAACAGATTCAGCCGGTGCTGCTCACGAACGAGCTAATCGAGGGTTGCTAAACTCAAGTAAGGTTGACGGACTTTCCTCCTTCCGTAGAGAAAAACAGTTTGATCTCCAACAACGAGAGTTCGGTCCCTGGTACTGTGCCTATAAAGTCTTCCTAAGGCCCTTCGCCTATTGATGAGGAGTCGAATCTCTTAGAGTAGAGCAGAAGTAGCAGTTGATTCCTTTCCCCGAAGCGAAGGAGAAAGATCAAATCTCAGAGCGTCTCCCTTGCCCGAAAAGTACTCCTCGAAGTGATGAAAAGCGACGCGAACGAGTTTCATTCCTTCACATTCTTACCACTAGTTGAGTCGTTTCTACTCTGCCCACTTCCAGAAGCAGAAATGGCTACCGGGCTATATCTTTCAGATGTCGGGGAACAACTTCTTTACCAAAAGGTCCGCTAGTTCACGAAGCTCTTGGGCTTTCTCTCTTGATCTATATCCCCCCCATCTCGATCCCGCGCGCATTCTTTTAGCCCGCTCTAGGGGAGGGCAATCGAGAACGTAGAGCGATGCTCGAAATCGATCATGTTGGTTTTGCCCAGTAGCCATTCTCAGCGGAAGTACGAACATGGTAAACAGAAGTGCGCCAATGCGGATAATGCAGCAGAAGTATTAAAGACATTTCCTAATGAAGAGAGAGAACTAGGCCTATAGGCCGTAGCCTCTTTCATAACCTCAACTGACACCATTTTCTTGAATAGTGGAGGAATTGCCAGCAGACTTCGCTGCCAGACCGCCTGGACCTGTCTCTAATTCAACCCGGATTGCGTCAGTCTCTTCAGGTATTTCCTTGGATAGGTCAGTTTCTGTCTTCAGGGTCGTCATCCCATCCCCTACTTCTACATCCTGGTACCCTTACTCAGAAATGTCACAGCGCTTGGATTTGCTTTGAACACAGGCTGCCTCTACGAGAGCTTCAGGCAGGATGTCATATTGGACGAGGTTGCTGTAGCAGCAGTCGGCACTAATGCCAGGTGCAAGAAATACGGACTTTTCTTAACTTCGCTATGCTTCCCTTATATGATTGATCGAAGCTTACCTTATATGACTTATACTTCCTTCTTTCCTGTGATTTCTCAGATCGGATCGGGAATGCGATCAAAGTAGACGGTCCCCTCTTCTATGTGAGGTGGGGCGTACGTAAGAGCGGAACCTATATAGAACTCGTAGCAATGAGGAGCTGCTGGCTCAGAGGGTAAAGGAACAGCTGCTCCTACTAAGCCCTATCGCGGGGGCCTTAGCTGCATCTTGGCTTTCCCCGTCTTCGCTCAGTGATGGAATCCTTGAATCCAGTACATTCTGGGTGCTATGGATGCACAAATATTATAACCACTTCTCACCCCTCCACGCTCCTTTGGAAAGGTACCAATCCACTTCGTTACCGGCCAGTCCTAACCCCCGTGCGAGAGCTTTAAGTGATAGGGGCCGATCTGTGCTTTCATACGTCTCGTCATTCCGGCTTGTATCTTTGGCTCGTTCTTAGTGATTCGTAAATGCCAAGCCGCCTTTCCAGGGGGGGTGTGGGTTAATTTGAGGCCTAGTGATGGTTTGCGATTATCAGCGAAGAGTGATGCAAAAGGCCTCTAAAAAAATGAAAATCCATTTTCACCTCATTCCTTCACCCTTAGGCCGTGCAGTCGAGTTAGCTTGTACCGTGGCTTACAGCCGTTAACTCATTCCTTGACTTCTGCTTTTAACTCATAACTCCACTCGAGCTTCTTAACCGAAGCTCTTCGTTCCACTTTCAGTATAAAAAGCAAATAACTTATTTCCCACTTCGTCCCGATCTTGAACAGGACATAGACGAGAGTAGAGGAAGCGCCCAAGCCACACATTAAATATATAAAGTATTAAACTGTCGTATTCAGAGTATTCCTAGACTGATAACTCCGAACTGAACCATGCCCGAGGGTAGGGTCAGAAAAAACTATCATTGGTTCGGGAATCAAATCAGGCTTTCAATCTTTGGTGGGAGGATACAAACTTTTCGCTGTTGAGCCTCGTAGTTATGCGGATGCCGTGACCGACCCTCGATGGCGAGCTGCTATGCAGGAGTGAAAGAGAGCCGGGGAGAGGTAGGAAGTTACCGGGTACGCAAGGAGGTCTTTCTTTGTAGATTCTGTAGACTATTCCTGGTGAGTTGCCTACCCGAGCCCGAACTCGCTTAAGGGAAAAAGAGCAAGCAACTGAAGACGGTTAGATCGCGAGGGATTATAGGTATCCTTTCACCCCGAACAAAAGACTTTTTCTTACGATCCGGATCATAGACTGCGGGAATACGAATGCTCCTTTCCCAACAAATGCATCCATTAACAGGAAAGAGGTCTATATTGCTCAGGAGTAGCTACTTGACTTTCCTGTCTTTCAACAAGAGGGAAGACGATCCACTCCAATACACCAGCGCCTGTCTTGGGATGTGCGTTTGGTGTGTGATTGATTGGCTGATTAGTCGACTTGACTAAGCCGCATAGGGTGATATTACGCTTTCTGCATGTGTGTGCGTGCGTTGCTTGCTTGCTCGTTGCGCGTAAACACTATTCCGACACCGAGTTGATAGGATTAGGACTCCCCGGTTTCCATAAACTGTCACGCTTTCAATTGGAATTAGGCACGAATTAGTCCTTACTCGCCCGGGCCGGGGTCAGCATAGTAGAATGAAGGGGACGGCCGTTGTGTTGGCAAAGCCAACTTCTTGGGTTTCGGGCTTGCCACCCTTCGTCCAATGCCTTCATCGAGCAAAGGAAGGCAATGATAAAAAAAGTGTTAAGTGTTAACGAGCCGGCCAGTTAGAGTTGTTAATGGCGGGCTACGGTTTACTAAGATTTTAAAGGAGTGAGAGGCTAGTGCGACGCTTTGCCTATTTATTCGGTGATCCTGAAACGTCGAAGTAGAATATAGAAAGCATCTTCGTTGACTTAACGTTGTTTCAAAGAAGAAGAATCGGGCATGGGGCCCCATCGCTTGAGCAACATCCCAACTTTCTGAACCTTGTCAATTACCTCTTTTGTCTAGATCGAAATTCCAGGCATCGTAAAAAGGACTACCAAGGTCAATTACATCCGCCCGGAGACAAGGGTTGTCCGACAACCCGCAGCCGAGTCGAGTGCCTCAATGGTTTTGAATCACCCCTTAGGGATTCCTCAAGACAGGTACCACAGACGACACATGTTGTATCGAAAGAAGAGCAAAACATTCTCACTTTCAGAAAGAGCCTCAATTTAATGGACCAAAAGTACTTCGTGGGAAGCTCGTACAAGAAGACCGCTTGAAAGACCTCTGTGCACTCCAGAGTCAATTACATCGAACCTTTTTTGACAGTGACTTTGGAAATGGGATTCTTGAACAAGGTCCGGGCTGTTGTCGAGCTAGCCATCTGCGCTCGAAAGCTACTTCAGGCAGATCCAGTCTGGCGATCTCATACAATATCTCCGAAAACAAGAGGGAATGCGCCCGCGCTCTATCCCACATCAACTCGGTACCCTTCGGTGAGGAATCATTGTCACCCAGGCGAGATGGTTACATGGGTTCACTTGCCTTACTCTATTAATATATATTGCTAAACTCAATTACATCGACCCTCGATCTGACATATCAAGACGAACAGGGATAAAAGTCTCATAAGTTTTGAGCTCGTACCGCAGGTGGACGCGCGGTAGCGTTCGTGGTGGTGCTTCAGGATTCCAATGTACTGCGTCCAAGATCAGAACGAGCTTGCCGGCGGACCACTGCCGTCCCATTTGATATGAAGATTTGGTTACAACAAAGCAATTGATTGGAAATACTACCCCGCAGCTAAACTTGACTGATAGTATGAAAGAGTATCCTTCTGGGCTCCAGTTTCTGCCTTTCAGCAGTAGGAGCTAGTAATAGGTAATTAGAAACCTGATGGACCACAGGATCAGACAAGGAATGAGTAAGCTCACGTGTCTACAGTGTGTGCGCTGTGAGAAAAAACCTTCGCCCCTCCCCTCAAATAAAAAATGCATAAAATCCCCGATAGTGAGGCGTGGGCAAGAGTGCTGAAGGAACCCTGGGAAAAGAAAAAGTAGGGAATCTAAAAGGGAGAAAGGGGATGGAGAAAGAGATCGAGGAAAGCCGATAGAGGCATACTTGTATGAATGAACAAGAGGTTGAAGAAAAGCGGTAGCTCAACACTCTAATAGACTGGTGACTAAGAGACTCTCTTCAAGTGAAGTGAAGCCAGCACGCGGTACACAGCATAAGGGGGACGCTGCTCGACTGAAAGAAAGGTTTTGGGTGACTTTGAATTTCAAGTCCTCGAGCCAAAAGCAAAGTGACAGGCTCTTTGGAGCAAGTTACCAGATTAGTCTCCAGGATTGGAAGTATTAGCTTGCGTCTCCTCCGTCTTTTTAAGCTTCTTCAATGAATAGTCATAGGGTTATTTCCAGTCTAGAATCAAGACCAAACAAAGTCTGGGCACAAAGGATAAAATCAGCCAGCAGCGAGGGCAAAACGCGTTCAAAGCCCCTGACGCCCCGCCTCGTGGAAGCCCCCGGACGCTGTGCAACAACTCCTCTGATTGGCTAGACATCTCCGGGTCATGCACACCAAGAACGCGCACTGTACGTGGTACCCCCGTACAACCATTGCAAGCCTCCGCCCCTCTATCGAACGTTCCGAAGTGAGTCTCGACCATAAAAACAAAGCGGGATTTGGCGTCTTCGACTACCGGAAAGAGTCAGATTTTTCATATGGCTTTTCTGAGAGCCCGACTTTCGGGAACCAAATGGTTCCATCTGAGGGTTCCACCGGCTCGGAATCGTGGACGAGGGTCCTGGGGGAGTCAAATTATGAAACCTTGTTCGTAATTCCCTTCACCGATAAGTCGACTTTTTGTTCAGACAGGTTGTGGAAACTAAAGCGATAAGTAGCGAATTGAGCCCTGATACTACACTACAAAGCACCAAGCAGATCTTCTGGATGCCTTAATAAGAAGCCCTAAAGGTCCAAGGGATAGAAGCGGAGGGGGGAATTTGCCGGGACGAAAACAAGACCAGAACTCGACCATCCTTTACTACTCATCCTACTGGAGGCCAGGGAGGGGGGCACGCCAAGGTGCTATATCCCAGCCAAAGTTTTATCAATTCCAACAAGTTTTGCTTTTGAATTGGAAATTTGCTCAAATTGGATCCAACGAACGAAACGAAGCGAAGCCGAAGCTGGAAAGATAGTGGATCTTCTTTCTTATTGAGTTGGGCCGGATCGAGCTGTATCGACTAACCATACAATTTCGTTCAAGTTCCGCTTCTTCGTTACCGAGAGAGACAGGTCAATTACATCGAGCCTTCACTTTCGGAGTTGAACCAGACATCCACAGCAAAACCTTCTAAAGTAGGTGCTCGCGGGTGAATCATCGTTTGGGAATCTTCCAAGAACTTAGGATATACTCTGAGACAACTGAATGCCTCCTCATCCCAAGCGTAAAAACTTAAACATTAGGATATACTCTGAGACAACTGATGGTCTCCTCATCCCATATGACATCAATATTGTACTCAATGTGATACTTAGGGTCCCCACCTTTCTTCTTTTGAAAACTGTAAGTGTTGTTCTGTAGCTGTATTTGCAAGCTACATGAAAATATAAACAAATATACTAAGTACTATGCTCATATACTCAATAATGTTTAACTCTTACTTATCCGAATCTTAAAGATATTCAATAAGCTTAATATGTCTCAAATAAATATTAAGTCATCAAACATCTTAACTTTTCTTAAACTTTTACTCGAGGTTAATTATTTAACCTTATATAAATCATGTATTCAAAATCATAGATATTGGTTTATACTCGCATGTCACTTAATAACTCAAATGTGATAATAACTAAATTTCACATTAAACTTGATTGAATACATGAACTCAAAACATGCTTATCTTTTACCAACATCATATTCATGATTTATAACTCATCTTGATCTTTTACTCAATCAAATACTTAATTCATCATACATCATATCTCCCAAATTTTAGATATTGACTTATATTAAATTTTTCACTTAACTTAAAAGTGAAAATAAACTCAAGTCATACTTCACCTTTTAATCATAACATTTAATCATGATATTAATATGTCATACTTAATACAATCTTTATAAGATTATATACTCAACATATTAAACTAAAACTTTGCCAAATTGCTCATCACTTATATGAGAATTGATCATAATAATCTCACTTTAACAACTTGATCATATCATGTATATTCTTGCATATATATACTCATCTTTACATATATGCCTTATAATTATCATAACTCATTCATTTCTCATCTTCAAATCATGAAATTTAACAGTCATAATCTCAACTCATTGTTAGACATGTCATAAAAATTTCATAATTTTCGCATGCATATCCATTAAGTTATTAGAATTTAAAGTCACAGTGAACATAAAATTCAACTTGCATGTTCATCTTCAAAAATTCATAACTCAAGCTATACTTTGCTAAATCACTTGATTCTTGTTCTCATGTACTCCTCTTTTACATAAAAATCATTTATTTAAATCATACTCTTCCAGCTTATTCATATCTTTATCAACATCTCATCAAATCAAGCACATATATCATATAATTGATCTTGAACAACTTCAACTCTTTATATTCATAGAATCAATTATAAACTTAACTTCTACATCATGATATACATACTTATAAACATGTAAACTCATTATCAAAACATGAACTTAAGCATGTAACTTTAAGATAAGTAATTTACCTCCTTCTTGCTAGAATAAAAACTTGATTCTTTACTTCAAATTCTTCACTTCTCCAAAGTTTCTACTACTTATCTCTCTTACACTCTTATATAACTTTTGGTACTTTTCTTTGGTGTGAGAACTCTGATTTTTAGGCCTCTATTTATAGGCACAAATTGGCAATACATCATAATGGAGTGAAGAAATGAACATAATAAACAATTTAAACTTATAAACTTAATTAATCATAAACTATTTTATGATTAACTTGTATACTCATCAAAAACATAATTAATCATAAAAAATGGCCTCTGGTTGAGATCACAATCAGATTCTCAATGATCAAACCTTATTGTCGGTCACACGGCTCGTGTGGCTTGTCACACGACTCGTGCAAAAAAGTCGAGGCTAACTTTCATTCATATCTCCTCCCACACGACTCGTGTGCCTTCTCACACGACTCGTGTGGCTTCACACGACTCGTGTAGCTTCTCCCTCGACTCGTGTGGCTAGTTCCTTGATCAACTCTTAATTTCAAACTGATAACTGCATATCTTGGCCTCGAAATTACCTAAATCTTGGAACTAAAACTGTTACTTTCTTAATAACTGAGAGGGATATTACATTCTACCCCCCTTACAACTATTTTCGCCCTCGGAAATACTGAAACTGAGATATAGACCAACTATGTTTATATATCATAACTCGAAATCTAAAAAATGAATACTAATATCAACTTCTCACTCCCCAGTGGCATCTAACTCTATATGTGGCGATTCCATTTATACTAACGTGGAAATATCTCAATTCCTCAGCCAATGAACCTTCTGGTCCAAAACTTCTATCGGCTGGTCCTCGTAGGTTAAATCTTATTGAAACTCATTGTGCAAAAGCACATACTCTGGATCGCACACATACTCACGTAACATGGTTACGTAAAACTTTATTCACACTGGACAACTTTAGAGAAAAATTGATATAAAATACTTATCCGACTGCCTATGCGATACATTGCATGCGATTTACCCACTACCCGGGGCCCTTCGGGTGCAGAACATCTATATGCATTGTACCTTAATGTCGATGTCACTTGTAATCATTAACAAGTCACATCTCCATTCTATACTAACATCTTACTATATTAAACTAGCTTCTCTTTCGAGAAACTTTTTACTCAATATTACTATTGATATTTACTTCGACTTCTCCGACTTAACATAGTCGAGAATTTCGTTGAAATTTCTGTACTGATGTGGAATAACTTGACCATTCTCTGGTCATACCACAATTTCCAGCATTAAGGTAACCTTATTTTTACAGCTAATAATGCAACTATCTTAAATAGGCTCAACAACTTCTCAATTATTGCAGACATCTCTCATCTGATCTCGACGGCATTAAATGCTTACTGGTTGTGCATTCTGACATTCGGTATAATTTAATCATACCCGAAAACTTATCTCATACTCATCTTTCTTCTATAAACCAACTTGGTAACCCTTCTATCTTCTTCAGCAATGGTCCGATCTCACCAATGGATTTAGCACTGCTAAAAATTAAAAAATTCTATTCTTTTCTCCCTCTTAATATCATAAAGAGAATTTATCGAGCTCGAGTAAAAAGATTGAGAATACTCATGCTCAATAACATCCCAAATGATATAAGATGGCTGATTGAAGCAAAAGTTCGTGTATCTGGCGAGTATCCCAATGCATACAAGTATCTGTCAGGTATGGGTAAAAGCACTTTTGCCAAGAAACGTAGAGCAAAAAGAATAGGCGGCTGTTATAAATGTGCTCGCTGGAACTGTGACACTCGCTGTACTTCTTTGGGCTTTGTCTCAACTAATCGGGAAGATAAAATAACTTTCATCAAGAATGGCTTGAGTAAGGAATCTCTGGATCAAACTATTCGGCAGATTCTTGATACACATTCTAGTGGATATGTGCATCGAGAGCTGATGTCTTTATGGCTTCTGCTCAAACATGAAGAAAAACTCTATAGTCTAGAAAATATTATTTCCAATGATCATGTTTGTCAACATTGTTCTTGATAGTACCGATGTACTGTATATAAATCTTATCGCTTCTGACAGATAAGAGTCATTTAAGACTCAACTGCTTTCTTGTCGGGACTTTTCTTCTTTAAAAGGCGAATCTATCTTCATAGCCAAATATCTCTCATAATAAATGGCTACTGCCGAGTCTTCTCAAGGTTCCAAATTTCTTCAGCCCCCCAGAACTGTGTGCATTCTTGGTGGTTCTAAATTTGTAAATGTTCCTCACAACATCTATGTTGTAAGCCAACTGGTGAAAGAGTTGGAAAAACATAAAATCAACATACTTTATGGAGGAACTAGTATCTACTTCTTTAACAACCTCTTAATGGCTGCTAAATGCTTTGATATCCAGGTGAGAAGTATCCATCCTTTTTATCTCACTTCATCAAAGGTTGTCAAAGATTCTGCTACTTTGATGATAACTCTTTCAATTTATGACTGTTTGATGTCTATGATATCTGGTTGTGATGCTTTCATCGTTCTTCCTGGTGGATATGGAACTTTAATGACTGCTTTTATCCTTGCTACTTGGGCAGAAGTGAAATTTCATACCAAACCTATTGGTTTGTTGAATTTCAATAACTTTTTTCCACCACTTGCTTGGATTTCTAGATGAAGGAGTGTATCAAACTTTTATATCTCCTTTCCAAAGAGAAATATTCAAGTCTGCTGACACTTCCTCTGAACTTATCAAGAAACTTCAAAACAGCATCTCAACAGTTCAAGATTCTGTGGAAACTCCAGGATTCAAACGCAAGCGAGCATTTGATCCTTTAGATCTATCTTTGTGAAACTACAGCCATGATGGGTGGCAGAGTTATGGAGTCTTGTGCTCTTGAGACGCACACTCCCTTTATGCAATATAACTTTGTACTAGTTGAGAATTCCTTTATGCTTATCTGAATCTCCTTTCTCTGATATTTCTGTACTAGCTTCTTAGAATAAGGAATTTATCAACAGTGTGCTCGAATCTTTGTATTCTTTCAATGATATTAGAATTTCCAGCTATCAAGTAGATTGATTGTGCAAAATATTCTCTTCTCGTATATACTTGATTCACACATCAATACTACTTGTTTCTGGATTGAGATAACTTTTTTATTTAGTCAAGATTCTATACTTCTTAAACTTTACTCCGTTGTGGTCTTGAAACGTTGCCTCGCGCATTCTAAAACCACTAACTATATGACTTGAACAGTATAACCATTAATAAATAGCTATACTAAACTTTAAGGAAATTGTTAATTTTCCGGAAACACCTAGCTTGTACTAGAGTTCTGGTTAATATCTTTCTAGCTTCTTCTCGCCATTTCTTACTTAGGGCTTTTAATTCATCATTTATCTTTGGGGACAAATACTTTCTCCAAAGAGATAAAAACATATTAGTATTTACTTATTAAACAGACTATCTTTAA